CCCCCTTTTGACATTATCAAAAAGAGAGGAGGCACAAAAAACAAAACGAACAAAAGAAAAAAATGTTCCCTGATCAGTAAAAAATAACTATTCAAAAATGAGAAAGTTACCTCTTGTTTTAAACAAAATTTAGTAGAATTGGATTGACAACGCATAGCCCAGAAAAGTTAGAAATTCAGAGTTTGATAATCCCAACACAAGTTCTTTAAAAAGGCTAAAAACTTTTAATTCAATATCTAAATCATAAAATAAATTAGAGAAAGAAATAATCATTTTTCAAAAACTCCTTCTATAAAATATATCCAATAGAAGATCAAAGCACGAATTGTTGAATCAAGAATCAAGATTTTCAAAGTCAAGTATCGAAAGTATCAGGGGTTTTCTAAGCTTTAAGAAGTACAAGAATGGTAAGCATTAACTTTTTTGTGGGCTCATTTTATGTCTTTGACAATTGGTTGGCGCACTGCGCATCTTTTGATACACTTTGTGTATCTATATTTTTCAATTTGGCGCTTTGCGCATCTTTTATTTTTGGCATCATTGGCCAATTTTTTTTTACTATGTACCTTCTGAAATCTTAAATCCAAAAGTAAACCCATACTATTGATAAAAGCGATTTCTTAATTAAAAAAATTTTGAATTAGATTCAACAACTTGCAAAAAGATTCCTATGCGATAAATAAAATGTAGGGAGATAAAAAAAATTGTTTCAAAAACTAATTAAAAGATGAAAAAGATTTAAATCAAAAGTAGGATAACCTCTTTTAGGAATAGAGGTTAGAATAAAAAACATGAGTTTCTTTATTTGACTGTTTTAGAGAAGTCAAACACAACTTAGCAAAGATTTAAAAAAAATCAGGAAGCAGATTTTTTATTTTTAGAAAGTGAATGTGTGTGTTGATCAGAAAAATTTTCACGAAAATAAAAATTTAAAGAATAAACAAAACAAAAACAAAACAAGAAAAATAAAAAACACATCACAAAAAAAAGAACACAAATAGCATTTAACCATTATCTCTCTCCTGGTCCCATTCTTCAGAAACAGGTATGCCCATGAGATTTTTTGTCTTTCATTATTTCTTCCAATTTAATTTGCTCCGCCTTGCCCTTTCTTTTGTAGGAAGAATTCTTAAGTTAGGGCACTGATTTTTCATATGTCCAGGCTTCCTGCATCGAAAGCAAATAATGTCAGAAGAAATATGGACATCCTTACCACTTTTACCTTTCCACTTTTGCTTATGCTTTAGTGAGCTTTGTGATTTGCTTGACAAGTTATTGTTATCATCACCAACTAAGCTTCCTCTTTCCATATCTTTAATTTTTAGAACGATTGTTTACCTGCATCCAAAAGTCTTTAACTCAACCCTTGCTCGTAGGCAATGAGTGAGCCAATCAATTATCAATAGAATATACATTCAAATCTTTATTCACAAATAGCAACACTTTAGCATCAAAATTTCAAGTAAACAACAAAGAATTTTGTTAACTTTTCAAAATTTGAAAAATCTTTTCCTAAGGCATGCAATAGATGTAGTAATTTGAATAAACCTTGTATACATGTCTAAAATCTTTCAAAAGGTTCATAGAAAACATTTCAAAATCATGCATTAAATATTCAACTTTGATTGCTTGATTTCATTAGAGCCTTCGTATATGGTGTGCAATTTATCCCAAACTTCCTTACCAGTAGTGCACGTGGAATTAACAAAAAATCATCAGAATTAAAGCACAGAAAAAACAATTTAAAGACTTTGCATTTAATTGAGCATCCATTCATTCATCCCTATTCCATTGATTAAAAGGAATATCAGTTTTATCTCATTAACAATACGTTGATTGGTATGAATAACCAGTTAAATCATATGCCACATGCGAAAATCAATTGATTGCAAAAAAAGTAGACAAGCGAATTTTTCAAAAATCAAATGTAATATTTTTAAACAATGTGGTCTAGTGATTAAATACCTTCCGCAAAATTATGATTAGCCATGGATCAAAATTCAAAGCTTTAAAAACTGTTTTTATGAAAACCGCTTGATACCACTTGAAAGTTCGTTAGGGATGTTAGCCCTCTTGAACTTAGTCCCAAAGTTAATTAAGAAGAGTGGTGAATTGGAAAACTTTAAAATCAAAGATAAAACTTCACCAAAATCACCACAAACAAATGCGGAAGAAAAATAAATGCGGAAGCGATATAAGAAAAGAACACATCGGATTTATAGTGGTCGGTCAAACCTTGACCTATGTCCACTCCTTGGAGCACCCTCCAAGTATTGCACTAAAATCGTGACTCTCCTTTAGCCCCCACAGCTAGGCGGAGAAGCCTACAAATCACTTCCACCTTCCCCGGTGCGCGGAGTCGCCGGGTCCTTTGACACCAAGAGATCTCTTCTTTGGTGAACTTACCTCGAGACAAGCTTGAATCCGATGGTACTAAGGTGCGAGTTCACCAGAGAACCGTGTGGATCCCCCCCACACTCCTTAAGTTCCTCCTCCTCACAGGATCTTCTCCCTCTCAAACTCCACCCTTTCCTCTCTCCCTTTCAAGCTCTCTCTTCAAGTCTCCCCCACAAGAACGAAGCTCCAATGGCTGCCAAAGACCCTTACAAAGTGTCATGCCAAGCTTAAGTAGAAGCTCTCAAAATGAGCTCATTAATGCAAGTTGCTGACATTATCGTCCAGGACGATATGTATATCGTCCTGGCTAATCAGTACAAATTCAGCTCATAAGCCCGGGACGATTTGGGACGATCAGAAGAAAATTAGTTACATCGTCCTGGCTGATATCACAATCGTCCAGGCCGATTAGTTTAAAACCGATTTCAATCGTCCTGTCATCGCCCTGAATTTGAGCTGTCCGATGTAGACTCGTCCAGGACATCGTCCTGGCCGATCAGAGATCTCCCGGACGATATGATCATATCAATCAATCATTAATGATTTCCAAAAATACCAGATCAATTTAGGCATAATTGAGTTAGATCGTTCTGACAATAAATAATATCGTCCTGGCGATTCTAAAACAAAGAATTCCCTAAACTGATTATGGCGGTTGATTCTTTCTGAATTGAGATTATCGTCCTGGCCAATACAGGTATCGTCCAGGCCGATCCGTTAATGATGGCTGCCTTAATGAGGATGCCCTAATTAGGGTTTCTAATTTGGACATATCGTCCAGGATGAATTAATATCATCCCGGCCGATATTACCAAAAATAGAAATCTTATAGGGAACAACAGGAAATCTTCCAAGTTACAAATCAACGATCCCACACCAAATCAACAGACCAGAAAGGAAAAAAGATTACAAACTACTCAAACCTAGTCATACCCAATCTTGAGCTGATTCCAAATTGCAGTCGATCGTGTGAACATGAAATGTTAGTACAAAAGGCAGTTGTAGAGAAATAAAAAATGTTATTATCATCAAAATCATAAACCATTGATCCGCAACATTAACCACGTCAGTAAATATGGCGAAGCCATTGGATCCATCGTGATCTGATCCGACGACGGGAATGAGATCCCGTCTTTGATCTCAATGAAAGGAGACAAGCGGCAGATATTAGATCCCGCAAATCAAATGGACGGCCCAGATAGAGTTGGACAGTGACCGATTCGACAGAGGCATGCATGCGGTTGAACCAGCACGTGAAATGACGAAATCTTGTCGTTGATCATGAGATCAATCGGTCAGGATATCGTAAACCGTGGGCCTAAGGAAGACTGAAGCCTAGAGCACAAAAATGGTTTGTTCTATCAATTCGGTCGATGAAATGTATGAAATTTAAATGTTGATTTAGATACGAACAGAAATTATTGGGATATTATTGATAGCTAAATATTCGCTTGTATCAAGAGTTATTTACCCAAGTGCGCTACGCTAGGGTTTGAACTTATACCTTAGTTTAGGATGATTAAACCACTTTTAGATTTGTGCATTTGTAGACTGTCCACACTCCATTTGTAGAAGACTTCTTGCTCGAAAGCTCCTAGATCAATGCAAATCGGCTTGGATGGAGATTTGCTTAAGCCGTCGGAATCCAGTCACCGGGAGCTTTAACCGGCTGGATCGAGCTGGGGTAGGTAGATTGAGGTCTAGAAGGCTCAAAACAAAAATAGTTTGAGCTCTGGGAGGGATTAAATGGAGATAAGAGTTCAAGTGAGAATGGCGGCTCATTTCCTCCATTTTCCCTATTCACTCATTCCCTGATCAAATCAAGGGCTGAGATTCATAGGAGGAGCTCCCAGATGCTGACAGACTATCCGCAGGAAGTTGGTGGAGC